TGAAAGCTATAATGTCTCTCTATATGTATATTAAAAACATTCCTGCACAGCCCCCTAGTCAACTATGATCCAACATTCAACTTTCACATGTGCAGATAGACAATTCTGCAACAGTGGCTAAGACACGAAAATACTCAGAAGAAAAAAAAAAAGGAAGGATGCCCCTTAACATATGGCCACAGTGCCCGTTTAAGGCATCTTTTCATCAGAGACTTAAGTACGAATTCTCTAGGAAAAAAGATGATGTCACTGAAGTCACAAAATGCTTCTGTGCCAACCATTTTGCTTCAGCTTCAGTGAAGACAGCAGGTAGATCCAAACTAATTCTCTCTCTCAAGAGGTTTAATGGAATTCTGTGGTTAATTATTTTTAACATAAACACATAAAACTGGGGGGAGGGAGGACACAATTAAATAAATGCAAATATCTCATGCAAAGTATCTAACATTGGATAAAAGAGGAATGTAGAAAATGTGCTCATTATCCATCACTGGAGATTTGTAAGATCATGATGCTTGGTGCTACTATAAGTGCAGGTGGACTGGACTTAATGACCTTTCAAGGTTTCTTCCACTTCTCCTTCTATAGCCTTAACAAACTTCAGAGAAATTGCTGATACACTTCAAGAGACATTGACAATAAAAACTCACCAGAAAGTTCAACTAAAAGTGAATGGATCAAGCATTAACTTCATCTTATTTTCTTGCTAACATTCTTGACCCCAGGTATAAAGGTAGATGCCTAACTTGTGAAGAGGATGATGCTGCCATAGCATGGAAATCTCAAAATTACTCCTTAGTCATGCCAGTCATAATAAATTTCAGGGCTGGAGAGAAACCATGTAATCAGTACATGTCTGTTGATGCTATTTTGAAATCAAGAGTAATTTCCAAAAGACTAGGTTAAAACTATTACTGTGCTACAATTTTAGTCTGAACAACATGGAGGTCACTAAAGGGGAAGACAAGACTTCACTTCCATTCCCAAAGAAATATTCCAGATTAAAAGATCATCGAGAACATTGATGGGAAATACTATGTTTGATCCTGGTCTTCCTCTTCATGATTTTGACTTCTCCCATCCGTTCACACGAATAATTTTTACTACCTCTTCTCTCCGCCTTCAGTTTCCCTCCACCACTGCAAGCAATTACACTGTACTATTACTGTGCACACCACTTTCACAGAACTGCAAACAGAAGCATAGTAAAAAAAACTTATGAGAACTTCAAGCCCTTCCATCAGTTTCTGAGCAGCAGTAGCATGAGAGTGAAAGTGGTGTATAAAGAAAGCACATTCATGTGCATATGCTGAAAGATTCTCCAGTTTAATAACTGTTATGGTTGATATGGGTGCAAATGAGATGGTACAGAAGCAGGATGTGAAGGCATGCAATACATTTGATCTTGCCTCAAATTTAAAGAAAAGTGGGAACAGAAGATAGATGCACCATACAAACCAATTGTTAGCAGCATTCTACATAATAAAGTAAAAGCTTATTTTACATATCAGTATTAAACAATACACTAATAGGGTATTTTATTTATAGTGATAGAAATGTAGCCGTGTTAGTCTGGTGTAGCTGAAACAAAAAATAGGACTATGTAGCACTTTAAAGACTAACATCAAGACTAATAAACCATCCTGTTAGTCTTTAAAGTGCTACATAGTCCTGTTTTATATTTTATGTATAGCTTTACTTACTTTTAAATCAGGTTTCAATCCAATCTAAACATTCACTTTACATTTTTACCCATACCAGCTTTCACAAGTAATTTAAGCTCTCCATTAATCTTGATCTGCCACACCCACTGGGTTAAAACACAGGCTGCACCTCTATAAACCGTAACTCTCTGGGGTCTGGTAACATCTGTGGTCCATAAGGACCACAGATGTTCCAGGGTCAGAGTGTCCCATAGTGCAGCAGTGGGGGCTGGGAGCCCGGCTCTGTACAAGGAGAGGGTAACATGGGGCCCAGCTGGACTCAGGGGCAGGAGCTGGTGCGCTTCTCAGTTGGGCTGCACGGGGAAGTGGGGGGAGGAGAGAGGAGGAGTGACAGGAGCTAGCACACAGCTCAGCTGGCAGCCCATAGGGGGAAGGGGGGAGTGGTGTCTCATTCAAATGGGCT